GGAGTAACTACCTCGGGTCCGGTGGGGCCGGGGTGTTACAGGTGGTATCAGAGCAACCCCGCGACAGTGTGATGACCCGTTGGATATCGGGCGGGCACTTAGCGGGGGAAGATTCTGGGATTTGATTGAGATTTGAGATTGGTTCAAGGGCGCAACGAGGACGTTGTGATCCTAAGTGGGGGTGATTGTAACACTTAAGATTTAATATAAACGGATTAATAGTACTACTCATACCAACAGAGGTGCATCTCCTTTTAAGGGAGCTCATCACCCAAGAACTCCAAAGTTAAGCGTGCTTGCACGGGAGTAGTCTTGGGATGGGTGACCCCCTGGGAAGTTTCTCAGGGCGCGCATGAGTGAGGACAAAGTGCGCGGTAAAGGCTCGTGGTGGTTTGTGGGGACAGTATTATTGGTCCGAAGTAACTACTTCGGGTCCGGTGGGGCCGGGGTGTTACAGTAGGGATGGACCGGGCCCGGGTTGATCGACCTGTTGACCAGCCTGGCCCGGTACTGTGTAGTACTGGTCCGACCCGCCAACCAGGACCGGGTCAACCGGCCCGGTGAGGGGGGTTTTTAGGGCGGGCTCCAGGTGCACAAAAATGGGGACCGGCCCGGCCGGGACCGGTCTGGGCCTTTTTATTTTATTTTTTTGATTTTTTGGGTTTGGGCCTTGGGTAGGTGGGTTGGGTTGGGTGTTTTGGCGGGGTTTGGAGGGTGTGGGGGTGGGGGTTGGAATAAATAAGAAAAGCTATAAAAAAAATTAAACGAACCAGCCCGACCCGGTAGAATCCCGGGCCAGTACCGGGCCTAACCCCAACAGGTTTTGTCCCGGTTTGGACCGGCCCGGCACCAGTCCATGCCTAATTGAAGGGTTGCACCGTGGTGCGCACGGGTGTATGGGCCTACTGCCACTCTACTGACTGAGTCAGCATGACTTACATCCTCCCAAAAGTCCTGTCGGGACGGGGCGTGGGGGGCGCTTGGGGTTGGCGATTCAACCTTTTTGGAACAATTGAAGGGTTGCACTGTTGCAGTTTCAAGTCAACTACTTAAAAGGTCGTTTTGACATTGTATTGCCTTTTACTTCGATACGGTCATTACAGATGCACAGAAAAGTAGAACTCATTATGAGGGTTCATCTGGTTTTACTCTTCTTTGAGTAATCAACTAAAAAACGTAGATTGAATGAAAAAATTGCCTCACATGATTAAAGTGTCGTCAAAATGTGAATAGGGAAATGTCCAGTTTTATTCCCATTTTAGGACTGATAAGCTCGAATTCAGAGTTTTTCACACAAAAAGAGTCATCATAAGATATAAGTTAAGCAATAAGGATTCAGTACGAAGCGAAAGATAAAATAATTGACGAGAACATTTATTCAAAGTTTTGGAGTTCATCTCAGTGTTGCTATAAGTTATGAATAATCTTCTTCATGGTGTTTTCCATCTTTGTGCTTCTTGTTGGCTATATGCTTAACTTTATCAATCTTGTTTTTGATCTTTTCTGTGAGGCATCCTCCTTTCTTATGCTCCTCTCCTCCTACACCTCCATGTGCATGATGATGATCATCATCCTGCTGGTGCTTATGCCGCCCATGCACGTGGAGCTTCTCCTCCAACTTATGAATGATATTCGACATCTTCCCGCCACGTGACTACCTGCGATGTCTGGAAAATGGTAGATGGCGGTCGCCGGTTGGTTACCGGCCGCCAACAATATTGAGAAATTGGAGGATGGAGAAGGAAGGAGATAGCCTGCTTTTTTCAGAGGGATGTGGTTGTTTATTTATACACACAATTAAGCGGTAAATTCGGTTTGTTAAGTATGCTAGGTAGGGGCTATTGTATGTTTGTCCGTTCAAGCCATCCAATCTCCTGAATTAATTCTATGTGCTTCAAAGTTCAAACACAAAACATGTAACGTATTTAAATGCTAATATCCATTGAACCTCAAATTTCTTTACGCCACTCAAAAGTCAATAAGTCAATATATGTGTATGTACTCTTAATCTCATTTTGTAAGATACCTTTTTATGACTAATTAATACTAAGACTGTTATAAATTAATGGGACTCAATGTTTATTAACTCCCGTCTAGAACTATTTTTTTCCCGAGGGACAAAAATACCCTCACATATCCCGCAACAAAGCCGTCCTCACGAATTCACAATTCACAATTCCCTGCCGTCCTCCATCGTATCCATCGGGATTCACAATTCCCTTGCCGAAGCCGTCCTCAATTCCGTTGACCTTCACCTGGACCCTCGAATGCTTTGTGTTAACTGCCGGTCTGCCGCTAGTAATCGCCGGAGTATATGCCTCTGGTCGTTGCCGGATCGTCCTCTTCTTTCTCTTATTTTTTGCTGCTGCTTCTTTTCAAGTTTTGTTAAACAACAATGGGGTTGAAAGCTTACTCGGTTGATTAGGCCGGAGCAATTAGGATTTTCCGATTTGTACAAAACCAATTTTTTATTCTACTTGTGTCTCGATGAACTGTGGAGAAGGTAGGTGACATCGCTGAGCTCAGCAAAGTCAATTATTGAGCTTTCTTCTTTTTGTTGTCCAGATCTATTTGTGATTTTTCCTTTTTGCTTCTTCTTCTTTTTTTCTCAATTTTCTTTTTTTTGTTTTATTGTTGTTTCGAGTTCCCTTTGTTTCCTTTCTCTTATTCTGTTTTTTTGACCAATTTTTCTTATTCTCTTAGTTCTTCTAAATTTTTCCATCTACTTTTACCATATAGATTCTAATTTTGTCTATACTTAATTTCCTTAAACAATTTCACGTTGTCATTTTCACAATATTATTAAATAATACTCCGTATCATAATATCACAATATTATAAATGAGCATAACATTATCTCTTGACAATTGTAAAATTTTAGTATCTGTCATAATGTTATTATATAATGTCACAATATCACAAACACAATGACATCATAAAAAACAGTGACACACTTCTTAACAATGTCATATTGTTATTACACAATGTCAAAATATCATAATGTCAATGTTATGACATTGTTTATTATACGTAACTAGTGTCATCGAATTACAATGACATATCTTGACACAATGACAATGTTATAAAAATTTCAACGTATAAAAATGTCATCGGGATAATAAAATGTCACAATGGCAATGTCATTGTCAATGTTATAAAATGACATTGTATTTATGACAATGTCAATAGCTATTATGACAACGTTAATTTTATAAAAAAGAAGTCATGACGTCAAAAAAATGTTGTAATGTCAATTAATCACGATGGCAATGGCAATGACAATGTCATAAAAATGTCAATGATAATGTCATAAGAATGTCAATGACAATGTCATAAGAATGTCAATCATTATGAAAATGACATTGTTAAAACTATTGTCAAAGCTATAAAATACTCCCTCCGTAACTTTAAAATCTTCCCATTTCAAAAGTAGATAGATTAAGAATAGTGAAAGATGATATGAATTATTGAGGGTATGATGGAAAATAGTGGAATAATGTGGTGGAATGTAGGATAAATCCAAAAAAAGTAGTTGTAATAGTGTATTATTTTAAGAATTATTGAGGGTATGATGGGAAGATTTAGAAATGAGAAGATTTTTGTGTTACGGACGAAAAAGGAAAGTGAGAAGATTTTTAAGTTACGGAGGGAGTATAATTTTTATTTTAGCAGGTGCAATGTTTGCATGACAAAGTCAATTCACATTCATCATTTTATATTTTATGCTTATTGCTAGGTCCGGAGGAGCCAACTCCTCTTTAAACTTCAAAATGTGTCCAATTTATTTCAAAGCACTGATAGGTACATTAATATACAACGGGAAAAAAGTACTACTACTTCATAGCTCATATGTCTGTAATCCATAGCTTACATGTCTCTACTCAATCAACTACCTTTTACTACGTACTTTATTTTACATTGAAGATACATCAATTAAAATCACTTGCACAATGTCATTATTGTCAGCTATTACTACGTAGTTTATTTAATGATTCCTCAGCTCAGCTTCAGGCCGATTATTAGAGCATCTCCAATGCTACAATGTGCACGGTGCACATGTGGCATGAGAGAGATAGACACAAACAATTGAATTTATGACATTTCTCTCTCATTCTTTCCACGGTTTTATGTGTTTTTGGTAAGTTTTTGCCTACAATGTCAACTACAATGTCTACATCTAGACATTGTGTTTGACATTGTGAACAAAAACTTACCAAAATGATGTAAGATCATTCAAATAAGGAGATAGATATTCTACTTATTGTTTTTTAATTGGTTATTTCTCATGCCACGTATGCAACATCAACATTTTAGCATTGAAGATGCTCAATCCTTCTCATCGTTAACTCCTCTGCTCCTCCATTGTCTGGTTGTAATCCGCACCTACAAACACTTCCCCGCCGCAAACAATCGGATTGAAAAGCTTGCTCTGGATCATCACACCGTAAATCCAATCCCTATCCTGCAAGTTGTGGCCGTCCATCAGCTTCCGCATCTCGGAAACATCCAGCGCATCTCGGACAGCTCCAGCGGGGTGTAGCTGTGGCACAGCAAGGACTTGAGGATCATAGGGAGCAGGGGTATCCAAAGTTTTGTATCCGAACTTCTGTTTTTTTTGGATGAAGAAGGTGAATTTTGTCTGAGATCCGATTCTCGGTTAATCGCTAGCCCGCTATGAAGTACGAACAAAGGGAGCAGGGGTAAAAATGGTAATTCAGCTCAAGTGTAGTCCGATTCAGGGTTAAAAAAAGTCGGAGTCCTATTTAATTACACAGAAGAAGTTACGGTCCTATCGAGAACCATTTCCCTAAATTAATCACTGCTAACTTTGTGCCTTCGTATTTTATCCATTTATCTATAATATCATGTTTTTCCTTTTTTGGGAATCCTAGTATATTTTCTTACTTTTTGAATTGAAGGGTATAATGGCATAATCCCTTTACTTTCTTAATACTCATGCCAAAATCATACTGCATCTTCCCGGAATCCCAAGAGAGGAATGAGCATAATAAGATCACTGTTGATCATGAATCTAATGGCAAAAATATTTTACATGGTAAACTGTTTCCACACAATTAAAACTTATCAAGGAAAGAAATAAATGTTAGATCAATGATCAAATCTAATGGCAAAAGTATTACCAATAGATTGTCTACAAGCACCGCGATTAGGGGCCACCTTTGGATCACCACCACAGCCAATTGTCATTGACTACTGCTGTCAAACTATTACTATTGTCGGCAGCAGCCGCCTCCACAGGTGGTCGCCCAACACAACATGAACACGTAAGATGTTGAAACATGTTGGAAAAAACATGTCTTTCGAATTATAAGACAGCAAAAAGAAATACAAATACACACTCGAAGTCCTTACACAATGCAAAGATAGCATTTTTATATGAATACACTTACACGTTGTGACCTTGCAAAGACACTTTTCCTCAAAAGAATCAGATGCTGAAGGCCTGCAAAATCTTGTAAGTTGGGATGTAGAGGGTTGTCCTGCATGTTTGATGGTAGATTTCCTTCGCTGAACTAAACTGCCCCATGTTTATGAGCAACTGCATCACATCATCATATGAATTTCCAGGGCAGAAGTGATGAAGTTGAATCACTTATAAGTAGTTGCTTTGAAATGCCATATCTGCCAAGCCAGGTGATTGAAACTCAATGCTTGAGCCAATAATTTCGTAGTTGAGACATGTGTAACAATATCTCATCCCGACCTTGGTTTGTTACACTGCTTGTCATAATCCAAGGTGGAGACGTTTGGAAGAAGTCTTGTATTAGCTCTTGAAAATCTTGGACATTATCTTCGGGTCTTTTCCCTCCATTCTTGTTCTTCTTCCGCTTATCACATTTGGTAAAAACTAGTGTCATTGGAATCTACAAACACACAAAAAAAACAAGAAACAGTTTTCTATGTATCATTAGCATATAAGATGCTAGAGCGAACAAAAGAATATGTAGGCCACAAAGAGTCGAACAAGACAACTAGTACTACAGCAAGAAATGATGGGAGGTTGAGAACCAACTCTCTCCTAGGGATGGCAGCGGGTGAGGTACTGCCCATTCAGCAAAATCGAAACCCAAATTATGTATACCCAAATTTGACTCAAAACATGTTCATAAATTCAAATGTATACGAAGTATTAACATGTATTACTCATAATATGTACTCCAAGTAAGAATATACACTATATACATATTTGTGCACTAAAGAGCAATTTGCTCTGTATATTACAATAACTTAGCGTCAAAAAAAATATACATGTGTTCCATCATTTTCAATGGAGCCAAAGACTCACTTTTTTTTGTCTTGGGAACATGATGGAAGAAAGCAAAATGCCTCACTAAACTGTGTGTGCGCTTTAGCACAGGGGTAAGGCTGCGTACATCTGACCCCACCTTACACCACTATAGGTGGGAGCCTTTGCAGCACTGGGGCAATGATGTTGTTGTTGTTGGCAAATTTAGGTACCCAGGTTTTCTCCCTATCTTAACCCGCCCCATACAGTCATACCCGATTCCTACCTACCCAAGAAATCACATTGGGTCCAAACAGATAGGATTCACACGACAACCTGACCCACTGCCATCCCCGATTGGGCATCAAAACATAAAATGATTGAATTGAAATGGAACCTGGTTCTTCCCAAGCCAACTTGCATATTCAAGGTCAATCTTTTTGGCAGGGATGCTAGCATCTATGAGAAGGAATACAGAGACAAGAGTTGACCGGTTCAGAAAATAGTCTTTCGTAAACTTTTCCCAATCTTTACGGACTTCGTGTGGTGCTGAAGCATACCTTGTTTAAAAGAATTTGGTATTCAATTAATTCATGTTAAAGAGTTTGTTCTACATCGGCTACATATGAAATAACAAACCAGTAAATAAAACATCTACATATAAAATAACAAGCCAACGTACAACACCTTTTTTTACTCCTCATATTACTCCTATTAGGAGCACCTTTTAGGATAAACCCCCACATCTTAATATGATATGAATTGTACACTTGTACTATAAGGTTCACTTTAGAATGGAATCCTAAATCTCAACAACTCACTCCCTTAACCCAAAGTCAGAGTGGATGTAAAGGAAGTGCTATAAAACATTCCAATAGCTAACAATACATCCATTTATAAAACAGTTAACTCTTTACCCATATCCAGGCAAATCAACAAGATGCCAGCTACCATTTATCCGGAAATGGTTGATGCATTGTGTCTTGCCTGCAAGTGTAGACAATAACAATTTCACAAGGGGTAGGCTATTTATTTCCTCCACAAAAACCTAAGAACAATAACAGCGATTGAAGAATATATAGCTTGAACAAAATTCATGGCAATAAGAAGCTTAGTTAGAAGATTCAAGAAAATAATCATGTTGGGTACACTTTTTCTTTGAAGCATTATAATTTCTTATTCTAACTAACATGATGAGATTCTCTGGCAAACCTATATTTTCTAGAGGTGATAAATAAATCCGTGTTTAAAAAACCAGACCAAGTGACCAAGCCGTTGGAGCTTATAAGGAATGGTTTAACCTTTGATTCAACTGCTTTTCTGTGAAAATACATTTCCAGTGGTTTCATATGAAATAGTTATACACGAGTAATACACAAAAAATTAATCTATCATCTCATTGATGTATTCAAAATTGTGATTTTAATATATATAAGACATACACATTCTCTATTTAATTCATCCCAAGATAAGACAAAGTATTAAAAATTAATTATTGTAAAATTGTTATGTAGACTCGGTTGAACTGTTGAAGGGGCTCCCAGTTTGACCTGGTTCATTTCGGATTGATCGGGTTCAACCGAGAATCCGTTTTTTTATAACTGGAGAGACCTCCGGTTCCCAATTCAACTTGTTGAACAGTCAAATTCTTAACACACTTATTAGAATGAACTGTTTGGATGGTCAATAAAAGAGAACAACAATTGACATGTAAACACGTAGGTGTAAAGATTTTAAAAATTAGGACTTTAGGCCAAAAGACACTCCAAATGAGTTCTTCCTTTCCCTTCAAATTCTACTTATACTTAAGAGGCTTTAGTCTACAGTTTAGCCAGAGTTATTCAAATCGACTTCAAATGGCAAACTACATTGTCAAGCACGCCATTATTTTTATTATTTGCAATAAGATAACATTTCCTACATCTAGCCCTATGTTCCTTAGGGCATCAAAAAACCAAATTTTTGGTCTATAGGAAATTCCACAGCAATAAACACGACAGTTAAAACTAATGACCAAGCAAACCCAAGATTTAACCTTTCATTTTTTTCAACTTAAGCCAAAAAAAATCACACTATACTGGAGAACATACCAGGTTTCTTGGAAGTGAGAGCAAGCTTCTTACGCCTAACAATAGAGTTAAGTAGTGATGATTTCCCCACATTAGACCTCCCAACCAGCGCAAATTCCGGCAACCCATCGGCGGGACAGTCCTCCGTATTCACACTACTTTTCACAAACTCCGCCAGCTCCACCTGCGCATCCCCTGCATACTTGCTGAGCACTATGTTGGAGCCCTTGAGGATCCGGGAACCAAACGAAGCTGTTTCTACGGTAACATCGGTTTCCGGCGGAAAAAAAAGCTTTCCAGGTGAGATTTCGACCGGGCTAGTCTCATTCGAACCGACGATGTTTGGGGCTTGGAGAAGAGCAGCGGTGGAGAAGTTGGCGATCGGGCCGGATACGGCTTTGGGTGAGAGCGTGGGTGGGATAAGGAGTTTGGGTTTGGAAGCGAGTGTGGATAACTGGAGATGGAGCTTCGGCAGATGATTGATAAACATGGGGCCGGGTCGGATATCAAATGGAGGTGGAAGGGTTTATGCGGGGACAAGTAGAGAAGATGACAGACATTTTCACATTTTTGTTCCAGGTTTTATAAGAGCATCCACATTCATCATATTTAAATAAACACATTTTTTTGTGACATGTAGATTTTTTCAAAATAATCTCATGAAATCACGCCATTCATCATCTCAAAATAATCAGATTTTTTGCGGGTCCATTACTCACCAATTAATACTAGATTAACAATGATCTTGAAATAATCTGGATTCATATTTCAATCCCGGATTATTTTTTCAAATAATCTCACTAAACAATCTTCATTACCCAACTATGATCCCAAAATTAATCCGCCACATCACCAACTTAATCCTCTAATAATCTCATGGATGGAGATGCCCTAACTTTATGGAAAAATTGATAGGAATAATCCCAACTATTGGTGGTCCGCCCATAATAATCCCAACTATCGATTATTTTAGAATAATCCCAACTTTAGGGACCTTCCGCCAATAGTGGTCCATATAAATAAATTCATGTAGTTTCTAAAGTGGATGATGAGTGATATAGCAAGTAATCCCTATAAATAATCTCAACTTTTAATTTTTACACTTGATGTCTATTTAAAATTCACTTTTTAGAGGAGGTAATATATGACCATGGACCATTATTGGCGGACGATCCATATAGTTGGGATTATACAAAAATAATCAATAGTTGGGATTATTATCAACGGACCGGCAATAGTTGGGATTATTATTTTCAATTTTTCCTAACTTTATTAGGCACGTCAAAAAAACCGGCCCGCAATGAGCCGTCCTAGCCCGAGACATTTGGGGTGGGTCCACTCCACCCGTCTTTTAAATGGGGCGGTTCCAGGTTTTATTATTAACTTGAGGCACTCTGTCCCGTCCTGACACGCCCCGCTCAATATATAAGTATACATACTTTTATAAAATGATGATACTACAAATATACTTATACATACATATGTGTGTATAATAAATCATAAATTCTTTAATCTTATATTATATTAATATTTATATTTAAACGTGATGAACGACGAATTATCAATGTCTTTTTTATATACTTGGTATAACATTTTAATTTATATATTCAATTATTAATATAAATAGATTAACTATTCAAGTCTAAGTACTTTTTCTTAATTTTTAAAATTTTTACCCTGTTGTGGCTATGATTTAATATATTATTTTTTTAATAATTATTTAGAGATAAATTTAATGGAGATTCAAGTAGTTACAACTTCACACAAATAGAAATGCATACTAGCTAATTAGGTTATGGCTGGGTGGGGCGGACCCGCCCCGCATGGAGCGTGTCATGGGACAACAAGTTTGGACCCGTGCTGGTCACGGGGCGGGGCAGGTCCACCAAGTGAAGTCACGGGATAGGTCCAGGTCTTGTAGTACCCGCCTCGACCCATTGTCATGCCTCGGTTTTATCCAAAATGATTTATGTGGGGATAAGCAGGGAGATGATGGCCGTTCGGACATCAAAACATTTTTACAGGGGTGGGGCATATCGGTTATTTGTTCGTTTTTTATCGGTTTTTTGTTCGGTTTTTATCGATTTCGGTTCGATTTGGAATGAGTTAGAAAAAAATTTATCAAACAAAAATCATACTATTTCTCGGTTTGATTCGGTTTGGTTTAGTTTGATTTGGTTCGGTTTGAATTTGTTGTTTTTTTAAAGGGAAAAGGGGCAAATAAGCTCTCGAACTAACAAAAAAAGTGCAAATCACCCCTTATATAGGAGATTCTGTCCCAGTGGAATTTTTTGATGAAGTTTTTTGAGCACCTTCTTTATTAAGTCTTGTTTCCCCATACCAAATTTCAGATAAAAATAAAACCGGAAAGGCAGTCAAATGATTTTATGAAATATATTGTGCCGCTTAACTGCGCAGTTATCTTCAAAAAGTCATTTGACTGCATTCCCGATTGAAGTTTTATCTGAAATTTTGGTATTGATAAACTAGACTTAATGAAAAAGATGCTCAAACATTTTCATCAATAAATATCACCGGGAACCTCCCGAAATGACGACGGACGGACAAAACCTCCTATATAAGGGGTGATTTGCACTTTTTTGGTTAGTTCGAGGGCGTATTTGCCCATTTTCCCTTTTTTAAAAATATGTGTTGGTTTTATTGAATTTCTTTAGTTCGATTCGTTTTTGGTGATATTGTTGGTTCAGTTTTGTATGATTTTAATTGGTTTCGGTTCGGTTTGAAAGAAATATTACCAAACTCAAACCAAATTGCATATGGTCCAATTACGGATGGTTTAGTTCGGTTTGATTGGTACAGTTCAGTTTGGTTAAACCAAACCAATATGTTCACCCCTAGTTTTTTCTCCAAAACTGTTCTTTTAAGAATTGCGGAATGTAGAGTAAGGATGATTTTACTTGAATTGTTATCGATCTTAAACCAAGTCATAGCAAACTTAAACAGATCATATCAATAAATTTCTGTCCAATTAAAAGCATTCTAATCACTGCCTAATTTTACCAACGTCTTTTTCAGTTCTCATTTCTTCTTAGTATAAAAAACTCATCAAGACAAAAACAAGCTTGATTTAGATATAGTGTATTTGAACAGACTCAATAATTTAAATTAATCACAATTTAGTTGATGGATCTCCAATCTGAGGATAGGCGGGATCCGGGTAAATAGAGAGTTTGTAAAGTGCTAAGTAAGATCGGGTAAGAAATTAGACAAAGTAATAGCAAGTTTGCACAGAGAAATTCCAATCTCTTTCCAGATGTTGGATGGTGATATTTATACTAACGAGAAAATATTTGACCAACAAGTAAAAAGATGATATTCTAATGTGGTGAGAACACGTGTATAACTTGGCTAACAAGGAGTGCTGTACAAGTCTAGTAGCGTGGTGACACGTGTAAAGTTGATTGGAGAGATATCTTGGAGAAATGGCTGATTGGTATTGTGCATAACAAAATTGTTCTTTGTGTGCTAGAATGCGGGTGCATGCCACACGTGTGCTATCTGGAATATTCTGTGCAGTAACCGCCAAGGTGACGTGGCCCTTGGACTGTTGTCACGCCGGTGACGTGGCAGTAGTCCTGTGTAGTACATGATTATTGAAATGGCTAAGTCCACAATTGATTAGCGAGGCCCGGGCTCAAGAGGAGAGGTCGAGCTCGAGAATAGTGTGTTCATTACGAAGGAAACGACCCTGGTCTTCCGTTTGTCCGATGATGGTGATTCCTCCGCTCTGTTGACTTTCTAGATTCGCCAGTTAACTTTGCGCCCGTGTATGACATCAGATCTGGTACCGACCTCGGCCTCAGTTCCGGTCTAATCTCGATAATCTAGGAAGTCGAATGCTCGGATCGACCTTGGGTGGGTCGGGGTCGGCCTCGACGAAATAATGACTTAATATTTCTGGAGATTTCTTTGTATGTGGATATTTGATACCCCTGAGGTATATGGGAATATACCCCATCATTAGTAAGAAGTAAACCAATCTAAAGTGAATGGAAGTGCATACGTGAAACAATTTTTTGATTGATTAGGATGATTTCAGTTGAACTCAAATTTTCTGATTTGGTTTGGTATGGCTTGTTCAAGTCTATTTTGGTCTGATAGATGTTTGATCTCTGTATTTTACAACTGCCGATGTTCGGTCTATGTAAATCTGTCTGACCAGTTTAATTTTAGTTCAATCTGGTATTGAAACCGTGTTTAGATGGAGGTTATCTTAAATGAATATATTGAATAAAATTATAAAGAAAACTTAATAACCGAAAATATTTTATTGAAGGCCCTCTAAGATTGAATTTTTAGATGTTTATGAGGTACTTAGTGACAAATTAGAAAACAAACAAAATAAATCTAGAATTAACCCTAAAAATGCGGAGGTGGCAACTCGAAAAAACGGATTTTAAAAGACTCCCAAAAATGTTAAAACATCTTTAAATCTTTAATGGGAGGCTGTCAACATTAAAAATTGTGACACATGACAATGCATTATTGGAATGTTTAGCCATGTAGGAAGAATGTCAAACCTCACGTTGCTGTTAATTATCACGATTAGGCTAAGATAAACGATAAATTTAAAGCAAGAACACAAGAATTTACGTGGTTCACGCAATCGGTGTGATTACGCTAGTCCACGGCGAACGAGAGAGAGATGTATTATTATTCCAGCGTCTAGTGTGTTTACAGATACATTAGGGATGTTTAAATAGGTTTAAGAAAGCCTAAACAAGGGTTAAGGCCGCAGGCCCAAAAATTAATCCCGTCATTAATTTTTCCCGTATACTCGATCGAGTATACATACATACTCGATCGAGTATAGATTCCAGAACTCTGCCCGAGTAGTGTTTTTACACATACTCGACCGAGTATACCTCCATACTCGATCGAGTATAAACTCCAGAATATAACCCGAGTAACCCTTATACGCATACTCGACCGAGTAATGATCAATACTCGATCGAGTGTAGAAACCAGGGAAATACTCGACCCATCAAACACCTCATACCCGATCGGGTAACCCAACATACCCGGTCGGGTATATACTCCTGCATTCCAAACAAGGCTCCATCTTCAACAATCTCCCACTTGGAGGCTTGTTCAACAGTCATCTGCCATCCAAGAACATGTATCCTCTGCAACACCCCTGATCTCTATCTCTCGTTCACACCTTCCCATCAAGTATCTGGAAGGCCAGTTGAAGCCATGCATAGCTTCAACTTCTCCGTTGTCACCACCTTGGTAAGCATGTCTGCTGGATTCTTCGTACCAAGGATCTTCTTCAAGTTTATGATACCGTCTTCAATCAACTCTCGGATAAAATGGTATCGCATCTTGATGTGTTTCGTTCTGCTGTGAAACACTGGATTCTTCGCGAGATGAATAGCACTCTGGTTGTCACAGTATAGACCGCAATCCCCATGTTCCATGCCCAACTCCGAAAGAAAGTTCTTCAACCAGATCAACTCTTTGGCCGCTTCAGCAATGGCCATATACTCTGCTTCTGTGGTCGAAAGAGCCACACTCTTTTGAAGTCTAGACATCCAACTGATCGCCGTACA